TTCCTATTGCCATATATATATATATATATATATATATATATATATATATATATATATATATATATATTAAGATATTTTTTATGTTTATACGTTCTTTTTATAGATACAAATATTTAAGTAAATGCTCTGTTTATAATAAACAGTATTAAACAACATTTACCGGCTTGAATCTCCGAGAACTTGTCATAGAAAATATGCGTCATCCGACAGGAATCGAACCCGTATCCTATACGGAACCGTCATATGGCCTGACGTGCTTTTACCGATTGAGCCACAGAGGACCGATCGGTTAGCAATGTCGAATTTACTGTTTTTAAACGACAGTTCTTCATGATCTTCTCTCGTACATTCATGTCTACTCCATGCGTATCCAAATGTAAACAAATGACGTCACACTTTATGAAATGGACAAAGTCCAACAATTATTTTAACACAATTTTATATACATATATATATATATATATATATATATATATATATATATATATATATATATATATATATATATATATATATATATATATATATACAAATTATGAGGGGTATTTGAATAATCATAATTAATTCCTCGAGCCGAGAAGAATCTTAAACAGAATGCAGAAAGCAGTGGACGGCCGGGTTCGAATCTGGGTAATGGATGCGCACAGCTAATGAGTCCCCAAATAGGACGAAACGGAGGTCCAGTGCTTTCTGCATTCAGTTGAGGAATCTTTTAAACTCGAGAAATTAATTATGATTATTCAAACCCCCAATAATAATAATAATAATATATATATCACTGCTTGAACAGGCTTCTAATGCTCTGGTTGGAGTCACTTGTGGATAGAAAGACAAGGCTCGTTGGGCACAGTCCGTTGGTATAAGTAGGCGTGGACGAGTCACACTGGCGCGATATCGAGTCTAGTTTATTACCTCTTCGTCACCGAGACCTGTTGGTCCAGTGGGTTAGTCGCTTGCGTTATATCGTAACCGTCCAGGTTATCGGTAGTGCATGCGCACTACTGATGAGTCCCAAAATAGGACGAAACGAACGTCCAGTACTTTCTGCGTTCAGTTGAGGATTCTTCTAGACTCGATGAATTTTGAGAATTCTTCTAGACTCAACTCGAGGAATTAATTATGAATATATATATATATATATATATATATATATATATATATATATATATCAATAAAATCACCATTGGCATCAGTCACAGCCTCCAGACGACTTCGCCATAAGATCTGCCTTCAAGTCATCTTTCCTGTTACAAGAAGTTTTGTTAGGGTTAGGTGGCCAGATGAAAGGGGTGATGCGGTCGCAGGAATTGTTTGACACACATGACTGTGTTCTCCTACTTCTGTGGCATGTTGCCAGAGATAGTATCTTCCAGCATCCACCTTCTTGACCAAGGGCAGCACTACCTACTCAAGGCACCTGATGTAGGCCCCTGTGTTGAGTCTGAGGCCCTGTGGGAAGATGAATGCAGGCATAATTTCACTATCTTAGTGATCACTCCTAACATCTTCGTAATCACCATTAGACTCAACCAACTGTTTCCGAATCCTCTCCACTGTCCTCATATTGACATCCAAACCCTCTGAAATGTTCGTATTGTAGCTTCCGGCATTACAGCATACCGTTTCCAAATTTCTAGCAGAGTGAATTGCGTAATGGTTCTCTTATTCTCACAGACCCTGCATAACTATTTTTTATTATCGTGTACAGTCGACAAAATCAAAACCAATAAACGCGCGTGCGTGAAACTAAAATATAAAATTCGACAATTTATCCATCGCATCATATCTCTCTCTCTCTCTCTCTCTCTCTCTCTCTGTATATATATATATATATATATATATATATATATATATATATATATATATTATTTTTAAGAATAGGTATTCATCGCTATACAGAAATTACTCTGTTTCGGAACCTAAACCAAAAATCAAAATTATTCAATTTTGGGGCGAATGGTAAATTTGTAATTGTGCAAGATAGTTTCTAGCGAGAAAAATTGTCTGGCACGACACAGTGAACTAAAATTACTAGTAGTAGACCTAGCAATTGATTTAATATAATTATTCCACTTCACGTCAGTTGTAATTGTGAATCCAAGAAAACGCAAAGAAAGTGTTGCTTTCCAGGAGATTAGCATCAGGCCTGTTGATAGCTGGTAGAAAAAGTTGTCTATGGTGATTAAATAAAAGTAGTTTTGTTTGGGAAGCGTTAAAATTTGCAGGCCATTACTTGCCCCAGTTAACCACGGATTAGAGGTCGTTTTCGAGAGATTTATTAGAAAAACCGAGATTTTTACCTGGATTAGAACAATGACTTTCGGAAGTGTAAGTAAATACACTTGAAAAATTATTTTCTTTCTAGTTCTTTGTTCACCTGCTTTTGTAAAAGAGACTTTGTAACTAGAGAAACGTGTAAAGGATAAAGTTTAACTTATGTTGTATCCTGTAGCAACGACCATTGCTTCCTTGACTGAATGCGCTTTCATCAATAGAATAAACACAGAGGGTTGTAGATTTAGAATTTATAAATAATGCGCAAAGTGGCAATTTGATTTTTTTAAATTCCTTTTCATTTTAATGTTTTGTCTTTATTTTTGAAAATTTCTTTCATATCCGAATTTTCTTCATTATTATTCCTTTTCATTTCTTCTTCTTTGTTTTAATTCTTTAATTTCCTCTCTTCCCTCCCTCTCTTTCTTTCTTTCTTTTTTTGCCATCATTTTTTCTTTCTTTCTTTCTTTCTTTCTTTCGATCTTTCTTTCTTTCTTTGACATCATTTTTTCTCTTCTTTCGTTTCTTTATTACTTTTGCTTTCTTCTTTCATTTCTTTCTTTTAGTTATTCTTTTTCTATATTATCTCTTCCTTTTTTAATTTTTAATTTCTTTCCTTCATTTTTTCTTTCAGATTTTTCTTCGTATATTTCTTTAACCTTGAAATCTTTCTAAAATGAATGACAAAAACATTCATTTTTTTCTATTTCTTTTTTCTTTCCTACTTTTTCATTTCTTTTTATGTCTTTATGTCTTTGTTTTTCTTTCATTGTTTTTCTTTTTTGTCGATTTCTTTCTTTCTTTCTTTCTTTCTTTCTTTCTTTCTTTCTTTCTTTCTTGATTTCGCTTATTTTTCTCTTCTTTATTTTACCCTTTCCATCTTTCATTCGATCCTGACTTTTTTCTTTTATTTTTAATCTTATATTTTCTTTCTTTCTTTCTTTCTTTCTTTCTTTCTTTCTTTCTTTCTTTCTTTGTTGACTGCTTACTTGCTTTAGTATATTTTTCTTTTCTTTTATCTTAACTTTTCTGTCCTTCATTCGTTCCGAAATTCTTTCTTTGTTTCTTTTTTAATCTAATATTTTTCTATTCTTTCTTTCGCCTCTTTCATTTCTCTTTCTTAATTTTCTTTTTTTCTTTCTTTGTTTCTTTCCTTGTTTCTTTCTTTCCTTCTTTCTTTCTTTCTGTAATCTTATATCTTCCTTTATCTTTCTTTCTTTATTTCTTTCTTTCTTATATCATCCTTTATCTTTTTCTTTCTTTCTTTCTTTCTTTCTTTCTTTCTTTCTTTCTTTTTCTTATATCATCCTTTATCTTTTTCTTTCTTTTTTCTTTCTTTCTTTCTTTCTTCTTATATCTTCCTTTATCTTTTCTTTTTCTTTATCTATTCTTTTCTTCTTTCTTTCTTTCTTTCTTTCTTTCTTTCTTTCTTTTATCTTCTTCTATTTTTCTTTCTTTCTTTCTTTCTTTCTTATATCTTCCTTTATTTTCCTTTCTTTCTTTCTTTCTTTCTTTCTTTCTTTCTTTCTTTCTTATTTCTTTCTTATATCTTCCTTTATTTTTCTTTCTTTCTTTCTTTCTTATCTCATGACGTAAACAATTTCACCAGTCGATTACAACTTCTGGTAGGTTTATGACTTGAATCTCGCTGGCAGGATAAAATAAGAAATTTCTATCCATTCATTCTTTGCGTACAAATACAATAGAAAAAGTTAAGAAAACCAAACAAAATTCCGAAACGAACGGAAATGGCTTTAAAGACTTCCAGTATCGATATAGTATCGGAAGCCGGTGGAATCCTGAAGACTTCAGGCGAATTTTTTCAGTGTGGGTAAGTTTCGGGTGCATATTTGTTGATGCTTAAGGGAAAATTTCCTTACAACGAAATTTAAAAAAAAGAAAAAATGAACATGACAAATTTCGACAAAAACAACAGATATTGAAAGAAACAATAAAGTTACAAATGAAAAATAAAAAAATAATAACAAAAAATGTTGCGCAACATTTCTTTGTTTGAACTCTCAAAATACTTCAAGAATTTTTTTTTTATATATTTCTTTCCGAATTTGTTTCTTTGAAAAATGAAAAAACATTTTTTTAAAACTCTGAAATGTTTCACCTGTTTTGAGATGTAATTTTAACACATTTGATAAAATACTTAAAATCTGAACAAGTTTCTGAATTTAAAGAAACCTTATAAATAAAATTATTTAACGATACTCTAAATTTTCTTTCAATAAAGACAATCTCTCTCTCTCACTCACGCACACACACATACAAACACACACACATTTCCATTTACATTTACCTTAAGAAAACCCGCGATAGCTGTTTTTAACAAAGTCCGCATCAAGAGATGATCTTGAAGTCAGTTATAGCTTTAGGATAAATATATTATCTCTAAAGGTGGTGTTAGTTCCAGAATGGTCTCCAGCGGGCCGATACATTTTTTTTGTATTCGACATTCTTTTCATCCAATAAAGTTTTATCAAATCATTTTTTCATATTTAATATTGGTGCCCCTATCAATCTATAGTAGAAAAGTAACAAGAAGGTTGGAAGGGTAGATAGCATAGAAATGTGCCATATCTACTAATTTGACTAAACTGCTAATCCAACCAAACCGCTAATCCCACAACTCTGGATGTCGGACTGTAGGAATTGACAGGAAATTAAAACAAAAAAAAAAAAAAAAAAAAACTCTTTCATAAAATCAGAATATTACAATGAAGAAGACATTAGGTTGGACCGATTCTTTCTTCGGTCTGCATGCCGTTGGCTTTAAATAGCAGCGGGATTAACGCGATCGCAATTGTATTATAAAATATAAATTTATATCTACACCAGATGGGGGAAAAAAAAAAAGAAAATCTTTTTTCAGGTGAATTTAGCAACACCACCATCACCAGCATCACCACCACCAACAACAACAAAACCAACACCAACAACAAAACCAACACCACCACCAACAACAACAAAACTAAAACCAACACCACAACCAACAACAAGAACAACACTATCAACAGCAGCTACTTCATCACCACCCATCACCACCACCACCAACAAAAACATCGCTACTAACAAAACCAAGACTACCACCAACAACAACCACAACAGCAACAACACCACCGCAACCATAACATCACCACCAACAAGAATACCACCAACAAAAACATCACCACCACCAACAGCAACAGCAACAACAACAACAGCAACAACAGCAGCAACAACACCACCGCAACCACTATCACCAAAAACAATGCCACCAGAAACCCCGACAAGAAAACTACAACCACCAACACCAACACCGCCACCACCACCGCCACTCGAACTCGAAATAATTCAAGAATATTAGTCACATAAAGCTGCGGATTTAATATATAACGCGTACTATACATAAATTACTATCAGATAGATAGATAGATAGATAGATAGATAGATACTGCTATGTGTATGTCTTGGCGTGTGTGTGTGTGTATTTGGTCGAGAATATTGAGTTTGGCACCTTAGATAGATAGATAGATAGATAGATAATCATGAAGTTACTTAGATAGATAGATAGATAGATAGATAGATAGATAGATAGATATCACTCTATCACAGTTTCTTCATATGTATTTATATACCTATGTATCTGTCTCAGTCTACTCATTTACTTCCGTCTGTCTGTCTGTCTATCTATCTATCTCGTTCTGTTCATTATCTATCCATGTATCTATCTCAGTCTATTTAATCTATGTCAGGTTATGCATTTCTATCTATCTATCTATCTATCTATCTATCTATCTATCTCAGATTATTCATATCTATCTATCTATCTATCTATCTATCTATCTATCTATCTATCTATATATGTGTAAGGTAGGTTAATACCAATGTCCAAACATTATATTTTAAAAATTGCTCAATACAGTGCAGAGCTTAAGAATAATAATGACATTTATTAAAAATTAGCAGTAGAGCCCGGCGTTGCCCGGGGATGTAACAGTAAGAGATAGATCAAGTATCGACCATCGTAAAGACTGAAAAATAAAATTGATAAAGATTATTGTTTAAGGTTGACGGACACGCATGTCTTAATTAGTTTTTTTTTTTTTTTTTTTTACGAATTGGTCAAACCCAAACTCAAACAAAAACATTGTTTTAATTGTTATGAGTCTACCGATTGAATAGAATTTTATTATAAACAATTCTCTTGTAAATGGAATTTTTAAAGCATTCTGAATGTAAAAATAAAGAAAAAAAGTGTGCAAGAAAATAAGAAACACTACCTGCCCCCCCCCCCCAGAAAAGTTTTGTTGAAATCGGTTGGAAAATGTAGGAAATATGATCCCATATATAAACACACACACACACACACACACACACACACACACACACAAAACAAACAACCTGGTTTTTATAATAAGTATAACTCGATATGAGTTGTCCCCCTTCCATTCTCGCGGTGCCTCTTAATCGCGTTTTCAAATTGATTTCGTGGAAAAAACAATTGTGTTTTTCTAATTTTTGGCGCTGTCAGAACCACCGCAAGGTAATTTTACTCAGTTCTGTGAAGTTTTGGTGAAATCGGTTGAAAAATGTAGGAAATCCGATCCAATATATAAACGTACAGACACACACACACATAACCTGGGTTTTATAATAAGTATGATTATAAGAAAAGGCCGCATCATAAATGCCATCATTGTTACAGCAGAGTTGTATGTGTTTCTCTTCAGGCGGTGGAATATCTGATCATTTTAAAGTTTAAGGGATGTGGGAAGGGTAAAAAAATAACCAGTAAATTCGAATATGCAACGAGGCGCGGCTTCGATTAACCAATCAGATGTCAGACTTATGATGAGTTCAAAGTTAACTTCGAGTTGGATGGCTGTTGGATTGCTGTTTGCTGTACAAGTTATTTGGAATCACGCTTAGGGGTTAACTAATGTCAGTCAGTTATGTGCAATGCGCGATACACGCTTAGTCGATCATGTATCTTTCGATACATGACTGAGGAGGCAGATCTTTTTGCCTGCAAGAAGTTGCCACTTCTTTCTGAGGTAGACCAGTTGCCATCCAAGCCTAGAGAACCTGTCTGATCTGCTAATTTACCCATAGCTGCGGGGAGGAGAAAGAAACGGATTCATACCTTTCCCAAGGGTATTAGCACGTAATTCCTGAATTCGAGCCGCTATCCATTACTCCACCGTGTCTCATCTCTCTCTCTCTCTCTCTCTCTCTCTATATATATATATATATATATATATATATATAGAGAGAGAGAGAGAGAGAGAGGCCGCAAGACAGCTTCATGGTTTCTATAACGTCAGAAGGATCGTTTTTTTTTAAGTGAGTAGGTTGTTAGCCTACTGCACAACCCCAGGTTTTGAATTCAGAGTGGTCCTTATGCTAGACCAGTTGTCACCCAAGGCTATAGAACCAGACCTGTCTTGCTATTTACCCATAGCTAGGGTGGAGGGAGAAGAAGAGAATTTATAACTTTCCCAAGGGTATTAGCACGTAAATAAATGGATTCGACTGGAATTCGAACTCGGCTCTCTGATTCCTCAATTCGAATCGCTATCCACTTTTCCATCCCATGTTAAGCTTATCGTATTCTTTGGTCTTAACTCAATAAACCAACATGAGAATATAAACTATCAAGATGAAAGCAAAAGGTATTTCTCCCAATAAACCTTTCTATGCCCTCATATCCATATCAGCGGGGAGTGACTATTAGTTCTACACGCTAAACCCCAACAAGGTGGCAGTGGGACAAAAGCAGGAAGAGAGGGTAGAGGAGAAGGGTGTATAGTCTGGCTGTTAGACTTTATCTCGTGCCTGTGTTTGTGTGTGTTTGGACACCCAAAAATATTGAAAAATTAAAAAAATAAAAATTTCAGACACACTGGGTTGAATATTAATATTTTTTTTGGTTTTTATTATTTCACTTAGGTTCCTCGACTACTTTGGGCCAGCATGGTTATCATTAGGAAAAAGAATTCCTGCTTGTTAGTAGCAATGAACTACAGAAATGAATGAATTTTTGAAGAAAGTGAACTTTATCTGTAGTTTTCACTTTTTTTATCGTTAATTTTGGTCAGACCTTGTATTGGTCAAATGGCCTCTTTTAAGTTGTTTTGAAGATAGAGGCTGGGAAGATTCATGAGACTCGGAATTCACTTCTTGGTCATTTTAACAGTTTTATTGGTTCCTGGGAAGTGGGTGTGTATGTGTTAAGTGTATGTTATCATTTGTTCTTTAGGAGTGTGTATGATGTATTTAAGTGTATATATTCGTATGGGTGTGAGTACAAGTGTGAGAATTCACACACACACACACACACACACACACATATATATATATATATATATATGAAGAAATATAGTTTTATGGTGTGCTATATTTATGGATAAAGTGCACAATATCAGAGATAGAGCGTATGTAAATATAAATATAAAAGTGAACATAGAATTCAACGTCTAGCATGAAAAACAGCCTGTCGCCTCTGAGTGTTGACTTCAATGTTCACTTATATTCGGTTTATATATATATATATATATATATATATATATATATATATATATATATATATATATATGTGTGTGTGTGTGTGTGTGTATATATAAACGTACATACAAAATGTATAAAGGAAAATATATAGAAGAATATATAAAGAAAAATGATATACATACATAAATATATATATATCCTACATACACACATACACACACATGTATATGCACATATACATATATATGCATATATATATACACATACATACACACACACATACATAGAATAATATCTACATACATGCACATACACATACAAAAATGCATACACTGCCAAGTACAAACAATAATAAATCTATCTATCTATTGTAGTCTATTCATATCTATCTATCTATCTATCTATATATATATATATATATATCGTTGTGTATTTATATCTATCTATCTATCTATCTATCTATCTATCTATCTATCGTAGTCTATTCATATCTCTCTCAGCTTATTCATATCTATCTATCTATCTATCTATCTATCTATCTATCTATCTATCTAAGACTATTCATATCTATCTATCTATCTATCTATCTATTCGAAGTCTATTCATATCTATCTATCTATCTATCTATCTATCTATCTATCTATCTATCTATGTCTCCTTCTTTACTAACCCATCTTCCTTAACAATGCATCCGATTTCACAAGGTTCAATAAAGTAAAGGCGTTCACTTCGTACAGATCGGAATCAAACCCGATGGAAATGTCCATACGTATAAATCCCACCTGAGATTATTTATTTATATAAATGTTCTCTATTATTTAAAAAGTAGACAACAACATCAATAAAATATTTTTTCAAAGGTCTAAATGGAAAAGAAAAAATCGATAATTTTTTGTTTAAATAATTTTATTGGGATGATTTTCCAATCTAGTAAATGAGCACCTGCTCCTGTGTTTTCTCATCTTGTCGTTGACTTATTAAAAAAAAAAGAGAAGAGAATGATAGATTGCTGAAAGTTTCGAATTTCCCAAGAAAAATTTTAATTCTTCTTTGATGATTGAAAAAGAAGAATAAGAATTGATAATAAATGGAATAAGAAATGAAAACGAAGAGTGTTGAGTATTTTATTTCCGAAGACAGAAATAAAACATACACATTAATACTTACTGGAAAAAAAAACTTTTTAAAAAATTGAATAAATTAAGTAAATTCGTGGCAATTTTTTGAGACAATAAAATTCAAACGAGGAATTGAGAAATTGATTGATGGCAGAAAAGTTTCTATAACTTTGGACAGAAAGTCTTGTCGCATTTGAAGATCGAAAAGAAACAAATACTTATTTCGTCTCATTATCGATAACATATATATTATGTTGTCGATCACGCCGGTTTTATATTTCTTAAAGATTCGGTGCAAAGATGCATGCAATATATTTTTATTCTCTTCATCTTATATATAAAGTACAGTGTATGTGTGTGTACTTGTGTATGTTTGTGTCCAAGCAACTCCTCTGCTCCCACTGGTCTGATTTCAATGATTCATAGCTCATTGAAAAGCCCTAGAATAGTTAGGCACAGGGAACGATTTTCGTTGAGCTCAGTTTTTGTGTTGTCAGATTATACGAGGTTAAAAAAAGAAATTAATATATTACACTAGCCATTACCGTTGCTTTCATGGTTCAAGTGCTGTAATTCTTATTTTCATTTCGTATTCAAAATTGCATTGCACGTTCTATTAAAAAATAGCTCTAAAGTCGCCCTATTGGGTGACATTTAAGCTAGCTCCCGTGGAGGACTCATAGCTAGGAATGAGTAAATGCAATAGACATCAATAAACTACAGAAGAACTCAAAATTTAATTTTTAAAGTATTGAATTAATGTTTAAGCTTACCTTTTGAAAGTTCAACGATAATTCTTCTGCTGCCACTTAATTTAAAGACGATTTGATGTACGTAGATTCTTATTTCCCGTACAATTATTTTTATTTCATGGGTGATAGAACAGGGGAGAATTTATAAGATAAAATTAATATAGTGTAAAGATGGGAATGTAGAAATTAGAATTAGATATACATTCAACATTTGAAGAGTTAGTAAAACATAATAGCTAATTAAGTAAAACCTATATTATGGAATCTATATGAATAAACGAAAAATTGGAGCTCAATTCTCCTATGAAATCTGAGATTAATAAGCAACAGCTCTACTTTATAGTAATTTACACAGTGTTTACTCATTCCCCCACGAGAATGAGATGTGACACAAGGTCTTTTTAATGTGGGGACCCGAGTGCGTACACTCGGGCAGGGACAAAAAATTCCACACAACTCCCGCAACCGTCGATTGCGTTGGCCTCGGTGCGAGCATCGATCCCTTCCTCTTGTGCAATGGGAGGGCGCGGACTCGGGCAGCTGTTCCCCAGGGCTGGGCACCTCTCAGTATAATTTTCTCAGTTGTCCCTCTGTCCTTTGACACAGAAACCCCTGTGCGCACCCTGTCCAATGACAGAGACGCAACTGAGAGATGATAAATAAAGAGTATAAATTACTTATAGTAATTTACACGGTATTTACTTGACCCCTCACGAGGTCAGGTTGTGACACAAGGTCGGTTTAATGTGAGGAGACCGAGCGCGTACACCCGGGCAAGGAACAAAAATTCCCCGAGCCCCCGCAACAGTCGGTTGCGCTGGCCTCGGTGAGTGCACCGATCCTTCTCTCTAGTGCAATGAGAAAGCGAGGCATCGGGCAGCTGTTTTCCAGGCCCAGGCATCTCTCAGTATAATTGTCCTCAGTTGCGAATCTGTCCTTTGACGGAGTCGCCCCTGAGCGCACTCTGTCCAAGGACAGAGACGCAACTGAGAGATGATAAAATAATACGTACAAATTACTTAGAGTAATTTACTTCTAGGGAATATCACACTTCAGGTTTAACTATTTGCATATTGATTTAAAAAAATGTTTATTTCATTAATTAACTCTCCTGTTCTTTTATTCGACGATTGTTTTGATTTGTATATCAAAAATAGTTCTGTTTAGGAATATCGTCTTATATAGTACAGAAAAGTCTTTGAAATTTGCATTTTGTTTGGCCTTCAACAAGTTGGCATCTATTTGTAAAACTTTCCTTAACTATAACAAGTCAATTTATGAATGAAATGTTCATTTAAATTTTTCTTTCACGGATTTCAAGTAGTGAATATATCTTACTTTGCGAAGTGATAGGGAGTGTGCGATGCATGCTAGTGATAAATAAGCTCCGAAAAGAATAGATGATGGTCAGATGGAGCAATGTCATGAGCGTCAGGAGGATGAAGAAAAATCTTTATAGTTAATGCCATAATCTTTTCCCGGGTAATATGTTGTCGTACGTTATCATGGAAGAGCAACAGGCCCTTATTATTAACCAATGATGGGTGTTTTTTCTGCATTTTTCTGTGCAATGCTTCCAAGTGACAACAATACTTCTCTACATCAATTGTTTCATTTTAGTATAGCCCTGCTTGATATACTACAACTTTGATGTCCTTCTAAATAAAGAGCATAGTTTGCAGATAGATTCTTCTTTTTTCAGTAGGTGCTAAATACTGTCGCTTTAGCTTGACATGATTAAAGCAATCAATATTCATCACTGGTTAAAACTTAAGAAAGGTTCTTTAGCAAGTGACGAGCAAAGGACGATTATTTAAGCTGGAAATCGGACTGATCGAGAGGCTCTCACTTTTCTAACTTTGTGAATATTTTATGATCGAAGATTCACTTGAGAATTGAACACAAAATTTCGTACAAGATTTCGCTTAGGTATCTGTCGATATTTCTGAGATGAGGTATTATGTACATTATTTCATTATTCGGATTATTATCCTCATCTTTGTCGCCATATTTATTATAAAGTTTCGGTCTTTCAGTAGCTATCTATATTTCTGAGATGAGGTATTATGTACACTATTTATATTATTCGGACTATTGTCGTCATCTTTGTCGCCATATTTATTACAACGTTTCGGTCTTTCAGTATTTGTCTTTATTTCTGAGATGAGGTATTATGTACACTATTTACATTATTCGGACTATTGTCCTCGTCTTTTTTGCCATATTCATCACGACGTTTCGGCCTTTCAGTAACTTTCTATATTCCTGAGATGAGGCATTATGTACACTATTTGTATTATTCGGACTATTGTCCTCATCTTTGTTGCCATATTTATTACAACGTTTCGGCCTTTCAGTATCTGTCTATATTTCTTAGATGAGGTATTATGTACACTATTTACATTATTTGGACTATTGTCTTCATCTTTGTTGCCATATTTATCACAACGTTTCGCCTTTTAGTATCTGTCTATATTTCTGAGTGAGGTATTATGTACATTATTTACATTGTTCGGACTATTGTCCTCTTCTTTGTTGCCATATTTATTACAACGTTTCGGCCTTTGTACACTCGGGCCTTCTTCAGGTGGTTGGAATGTCGAACGGAACCCTTTATTTCGCTCATTGGGGTAGACTGTTCTAGTTCCACGTGTCATGTTTAATGGATGTCAGTTATCAGTTATCTCCTCGCCTTAACCGGGTATTAAACTCACACTCTTTGGGTCCTGTCACTGGATCTAACCAACGCCTTTATCTATTGTACCATGTGTCATGAAGAAGGCCGGAGCGTACAACGCCCGAAACGTTGTAATAAATTTGGCGACAAAGATGAGGAGAATAGTCCAAAAAATGTAAATAATGTATTTCGCTTAGGATTTGAAGAACTTCAATATTCCAGAACTCCTTCATCAAGGTCGAGGGGCATAATCATGAGAAATCGTTTCAATGAAAACTGGCGAAGCCGACATTGGTAAAGCTAGAACCTGAAATCTGTATTTCCCTAAAAAGAAACAAATATTTCCTAACGCTCTCGTTGCTGAAGAACTCCTTTTCGAATAAAGGATACTTATACTTAACATCAGAAAGAAACTGTTGACATTTACAGGGCTCATAATAAGGAAAGAGTGCTTAGCAATGTTAATACTCACAAGGACAAATTGAAGAGGTACACGAGAAAACAGCGCATAACCTACCTAACGAGCTTGTGTAAATGACAGGCAGAAACGTGTTTAGGGGAGATAAGAAAAAGACAAAATTTACCAAGAGCTACAGAGAACATGTCTAACACTTTCGCCTCGGCCCCTCAACCTCCGGCGTCTGGCCACAGCAGAGTATCGAGAAACCTTGGATCTGTACCCAAAGAGTTATGCCTCAGATGTCCGTGCAGTATCATTTATGGCTGTAGAGACCCAGACGGGAGTGACAGTCTGGATTGCAACGAATGCATGTGAAGACGCCCCCACCTCCCGATGTCGCCGTATTGTTTTCTTTCCCTTGAGCACGCTTCTCCCCGGCGGCAAGCCTTCGTTTCTCCTCTCCTGGTTTAATATTTGGAATAAATCTTTGACTTATGTGTTGGGAGTTAATAAGCTACCTAGATAGTTCAAGTAGTTCAAGTGTTTCATAAAGACGCTCCAAATAGATAGTTCGAACCCTGGGTGTTCTATTGTGCGTCAGTTGGGATAATACCGTTATTTCCTTGGGGTTTCTGCTGTGGAACAAATAATAACATGAATATTAGGCAAGCCATTGGCACTGATTTTTTTGTCTTTCGTAATATTAACAGCTGTGCAAACAGGAATATTAACAGAAAGACGGATATAAATTCTAATTACAATCGAAA